CCACAGCAAAAGCATTTGATAAAAATCATCACCCTTTCATGATAAGAGCACTCAATACAAATGGTATAGATAGGAAATTCCTCAAAATTATAAAAGCTATATATGACTGGCCTCCGGCCACTATCATATTTAATGGGGAAAAATTAAAATCATTCCCCACTTAAGACTAGAACCAGAAAATGTTGCCCACTTTCACTGCTTTGATTCAACACCGTAATGGAAGTTCTCACCAGAGCAATCAGGCGAGAAAAGGAAATCAAGGCGGTCACAGTGGGGAAAGAAGAGATAAAACCATAGCTCTTTGTTGACAACAGGATCTTATTTTTGGACAACCGTAAAACAACCGACAACCAAAACAAAAATGTTTCAACTGAGAGGTAGCCTTTAAATAAATTCAGCAACGTCTCAGGTTACAAAATATTGATTTTGTACAATCAATCAGTAGCATTCATATACACCAACAACATCAAGCAGAGAATCAAATCAAAGATGCAATAACTTTCAGAATAGCAACAAAGACAATAAAGTACCTTGGAATATACTTAACAAAAGAGGTGAAAGACCTCTATAGGGAAAACTATAACACACTGAGGAAAGAACTTACATAGGATGTGGACACCTGGAAAAACAAACAATGCTCATGGATGGGTAGAACCAACATTTTTATTTATTTATTTTATCATTATTCCTTTTATTTTTTTTATTAAATCTTAGCTTTGTACATAAATGCAATTATGGGTACAATGTGATGGTTTTATATGCCATTGGATTTATTTTCATCAAACTAGTTAACATAGCCTTCACCGCATTTTCTTAGCTATTGTGTTAACACATTTATATTCTATACTTAGTAAATTTAACATGTACTCTTGTGAAATGCACTGTAGTTGTATTATTATTATTTTTGAGACAGAGTCTCTTTTTTTTTAATTAGAACTTCAGTAGAGTGCTGTAGCATCATAGCTCATAGCAACCTCATACTCTGGGGCTCAAGTGATTTTCTTGCCTCAGTCTCCCAAGTAGCTGGGACTACAGGTGCCCAACAAAATGTGGGGATCTCATTCTTGCTCAGGTTGATCTCACACTCCTGAGCTCAAACAATCCTTCCTCTTCAACCTCTCAGTGTGCTAGGATTATAGGCATAAGCCACCATGCTGGCCTAGAATCAACATTTTTAAAATGGCCATACTACCCAACGTGATTTACAGATTCAATGCACTCAATTCCCATTAAAATATCAAGGCCATTATTTTCTTTTGTTGTTTTGTATCATTTTGAATGCCTATTTTGAAATTTTTATTTTGATTGACAAATGACGATTTTAAATAGTCATTTTTTGCCAAAAAGTCCAGATTTTTCTTTTGTGAAATATCTTCTCTCTGCACTCTAATTTATCATAGTTTTATTAGCTTTGGATTTATTCCCAGTTACATCTTTCAGTAAATAATTATAGTATATTTTCTTTGTTCTAGTTATTTATCTAACTAGCTTGGAACATGTCAGTGATCAAAACAATGAAAAAATACCTGCTTTCCCTAGAAATTTTATTCTATCACGAGGGAAAAAATTATATACAATACATGGAAAAAATAAAGGTTCAAAATATGTTTTAAGCATATTAAATCCTTTGAAGTTGGGTAGTAGGATAACTCATGCAGTGCAAATATGTGCTTAATGAAGGTTTCACTGGATCTGAGCAAAAACAAAGAAAAATAATAACAAACAGATGAAATACTACTAGAAAAGGCCATAAGGAATGAGGAGTGTACTCTTTTGTTGCTGTTTAATTAAGAACGAGGAGCTAAACATAGTTGGAAGAGTCAGCAGGTAAAAGGAATCATAAATAGCACAGAGATTTAACAAAGCCTACATCATTTACCAAGTTTAATGCTAACCTTGTTGCTTTAACTCTCAATGAATCATGATTATTTAAAAACTCGATTTTCATACTTTACCAGTCTGGCCAGAGTCTGTGATATGGAGGGAGGAAGTGATACCCAGAAAATTATTATCTCTATCATTCAATCTTTATTTGAAAATGATACATCTTATAATTACGTTACATGTTATTATTTATAGGAAGTTATAGGAGTAATCATTAGACTAAATAAGGTAACCTTAAAACATATATTTTCAAGGTGACTTTTACATGTAACTGTTTTATGTGAAAGGCCCCTAATGATGAGATTTTTTTCTCTAGATTTTATAGTATTTTAGAATTACATCAGAAAAACGCAATTATTTTTAATTGCTTAAGACCTCAGGAGAATGGGGCAATAGACAGTCTCTAGAGTCCACGTCTTCCAGGTTGTAACTACAGATAAAAGGAAGCAGGTATCGCTGCCAAGTTGGAGAGGTCCTACCTTTGCCATAAGCAGGTTAGTTTTAAGATTCTAAAGACAGACTGATATTAATTTCAATCTAGACAACAACTTGGGTAAAGGAAAACTTACCGTTTAGAACAAAACAGTTCTTAAAAATTATATGTGAAGATGCAAGGAACAGGAAGTGTCCTCTTTCTGTAAAGCTTTGTCCTGGAGAGCTAGGCTCAGCTAAACTCCCTCAGAACAGCTCCATGGAAAACTGGTACCTGGAGTAGAAAATAGAAAAGTTCTGAGAATTTGGAAATTTTATTGCTTTTCTTTTATGGATTTTTGGAGGAATAGTCAAGGTGGAAAGGATAAGAATTTAAATGAAATAAACTTAGTTTGAATAGACTCTCTAGTGAATAAAAATTAATGGGACCAGTTTTAATTACAATTATAAATAAGAAAGATACATGACCCCTAAAAACAAAACTAATACCCAAATTTAGAGAAAAAGAAGCAATGAGGAAGAAAATTTCAACTATCACATTTTCCGGATTCAAAGACATGGAAATATTTGTCTGTGATTTTATAGTAGCGTTTAGGACACAAGAACCATCACATTACATGTAGCAATAGTTTAAACTAAATTTTTAAGCGTCTTAGATAAATGAAATGTGCCATAAAAGTATGATTATTAGAATATATGGCTTTGTAATGGATTGTTTGTGATAGCGTCTTTAAGACTCACATTCTTGAATATAGGAACTTAGAGCCATTATGTTTGTCAAACTTGCATGGGGTCTTACAAGTTTATTCATGGGGAATCCAAAACTATTTCCATGTGAACAAATTTAATCTTATCTGAATTGACAGCAAAAGAGATTCCTTGTATGGTAGTACCTGAGAGGTTTGGGGTCTGATTTGGGAAATACAATAATTATTTTTTACTGACTGTTTTCTCATGAAATGTCTCCATAATTCAGTATTACCTTAAGTATTTAATATTTGTCTTTCACAGGTAACATATGAACAGAATCTCACACACACACACACACACACACACACATATATATATATATATATAGAGAGAGAGAGAGAGAAGGGGGCGAGGGAGAGAGAAGAGAGAGAAGAAAGAAAGAGAAGTTTTTAATCATAGTTTTTACAGTAATTAGTTATTTTAGGGTGGGAAAATTCCCCTAAATCATGTTCAATCTTGATGTCTCTTTCTTGTGTATATCTGTGACATGTAACTGTCAATGTCTCATAGCTTTGGACTCCCCAGTTTGACCACTCATTGAAAGCATAATTATTAATAAAGTAAACATGTTAGTATCTAGATGTAGAACATGGATCAAGTTTTAGTGTAGTTAAGTGGATAAATGCCTATGATCATGAGGATCAGAGCTCTAGTCACAGAAGCATACATTGGTCATTATCTGTGTGGCACTCAGAAAGTCAAGTTTCTTTCTGCTTCTGTTTCATTATCTCTAGAACAAAGAAATAAACTAGATTATCTTTGTAATCTGGTCTACTTTTATTTACTTCTCAGGTAATAAGAATGATTAATAATTAAAATTCTCAGAATTGGGGACAATACTTTCTGTGAAAAATAGTCACAATGTATTTTGATATCTGATTTACTGGGTCAGTCAAACAAAAAGTAGGTTAAAATGCTCCATGGAATTTACAATGAAGGCACAAACATTGAGAGTTGATTTTTAAACGTGTGTGAACATATGAAGTATAAATCACTTTGCTTAGAATTTTTTGCTTTTTATTTGCTGATTATAGGGCTGACATAATCAGTCATCATGTTATGTGGGACTTATTTCTATGAACTTATAATGTTCAAGGAGAGCTCGAATTACCATGTGAAGATGTGATTTAAAGTAACCATAAATGCTTTACCGTTATTCTTCTCATAAATTTTAAAAATTGCACCTGATAAACTAGTCTTTGACTGAACAATTGTATCTATTGTATCTATTAAATATATATATATATTATATATTCAATATATTTTTTATTTATATATATATGCATATATATTATTATTATTGGGAATTCATTGAGGGTTCAAATAAGCAGGTTACATTGATTGCCTTTGTTAGGTAAAGTTCCTCTTATAGTTGTGTCCCGCTCCCAAAAGCTATATTACACACTATGACCCCCACTCTCTTCCCTCCTTCCCTGTCTCTGATCTCCCCTACCCCACCATGTACTACATCATTAATTGTCCTCATATCAGAATTGAATACATAGGTTTCTTGCTTCTCCATTTTTGTGATGCTTTACTAAGAATAACGTGTTCAATTTCTATCCAGGTTGATACAAATGACGCAAAGTCTCCTTTTTTATGCTGAATAGTACATACTTTTAAAAATTATCTTGATGCTGGGCCATGCCTGTGGCTGGCTCAAAGGAGTAGGGCACCGGCCCCATGTGCCAGAGGGGGTGGGTTCAAACCTGGCCCCGGCCCCAAACTGCAAAAGAAAAAAAAAAAATTATCATGATGCTTTAAAGTCTTACATATTTAGAATATATTAGGTAATAAGCTCATAGATTCAGAGAGAGAGATTTTGCCTCATCCTCCAAGCTTGATAAAGATAGTCAACTATGGTTCCTATTTCCTCACTTCCTTTAATTTTGTTTTTAAATTTCAGGATTTTTAGGTTCTGATAAACAAAAGTCATGTCACTGACAGATAGAAATGAAAGTACGGCTACATTTACACTCTTGGGATTCTCAGATTACCCGAAACTGCAAATTCCACTCTTCTTGATGTTTCTTGCCATCTACAGTGTCACTGTGGTAGGAAATCTTGGGATGATTGTGATCATCAAAATTAACCCCAAACTGCACACCCCCATGTACTTTTTCCTCAGCCACCTCTCCTTTGTGGATTTCTGCTATTCCTCCATCATTGCTCCCAAAACCCTGGTGAACCTAATTGTAGAAGACAGAACTATTACTTTTTTAGGATGTATAGTTCAATTTTTTTTCTTTTGTACCTTTGTGGTAACTGAAACCTTTTTACTAGCTGTGATGGCCTATGATCGCTTTGTGGCCATTTGCAATCCTCTGCTCTACACGGTGGCCATGTCCCAGAAACTCTGTGCCTTGCTGGTGCTTGGTACATACACATGGGGAGTAGTGTGTTCCTTGATGCACACATGCTCTACTTTAACATTATCTTTTCGAGGTTTCAATATAATCAATCACTTCTTCTGTGAGTTATCCTCTCTGATTTCCCTCTCTCATTCTGGTTCTTATCTCACTCAGTTGCTTCTTTTGATTTTTGCCACTTTTAATGTAGTCAGCACATTGCTCATCATTCTCATGTCATATGTGTTCATCGGTGTCACCATCCTCAAGATGAGTTCAGCCAGTGGGCGCCGTAAAGCGTTCTCCACCTGTGCCTCCCACCTGACCGCCATCACCATCTTCCACGGCACCCTTCTCTTCCTCTATAGCATGCCAAACTCCAAAAACTCCATGCACACTGTCAAAGTGGCCTCCGTGTTTTACACAGTGGTGATTCCCATGTTGAACCCTCTGATCTACAGTTTGAGAAATAAAGATGTCAAGGATACAATTAGCAAGATAATGGATACAAAAATCTTTTCTTAAGAATATTATTTTAGTGGGATATTCCCTTGACATTTGAATAAAATGTGTCATTATGTATTTTAAAGATACTTGTTAATTAATTGAAGTTTGTGTTGAACAGTAAGCAAAATGAAAATATAATTTGGTTTAAAGAGAGTATGGTTGGCTCTATCCCTTACTTTCTAGAAAAGATATACAATCTCCTGTGAATTTCAGAACACATTGAGTACGACTCTTAGTGGTGGATCACTCGGTTCATGTGTTGATGCAGAATGCAGCTAGCCACAAGAATGAATGTGAATTGCAAAATATACAATCTCTCTAAGCTTTAGCATTCACCTGTCAAACTGGCATGGCATAAATCTGTTCATACTCTACAAAGAGGAAAATATCATATACGTATCATGTGCAGCAATTTTTGTAACTTAGAAAATATTACTTCATTCATCTTTCATATAAGTTATTAGAGTAGACTAGGCTTTTAATAAAAGTGTGAATTTTTCTTATAAAAACAAAAGCAGTTATGGTAAGACATTGTAACTTGGTCCTAAGCATGCAAAATCCAATGTTTATAATAGAGAAATAAAGAAATGACCATTGGGGCAGTGCCTATGGCTCAAAGGAGTAGGGCACCAGCCCCATATACCGCAGGTGGTGGGTTCAAACCCAACCCTGGCCAAAAAAAAAAAAAAAAAAAAGTGACCATTGAACAAGGCAGAAATAATAACATTGAAGGTTTGAGAGAAGAAAATGTTCAAATCTCTTTAGGCTTATAGGAAGCATGTGTTCATAAAGTAGGTGTTGTTTGAACTCTGTCTACATAAAGAGAATGGGCAGAGATTTAGAATATACGTTCTAGTAAGAAAAGAGTTTTCTTTCGAAGAAAGAGTATGTAGAAAATGAATTCCTTGCCTAAGCTATTACATATAAGAGTTTTTAATTTTCACCTAGGTTTCTTATAGTTTCCTGTTTTAGGTTTAAGTCCATCATGATTTAATTTTTGAGAGTGGTGAGAGGGGAGGATCATGTTTCAGTCTTTTACATGTGGCTATCCACTTTTCCCAGGCACCATTAATTGAACAGGGAACTTTTTCCCCAGTGTATGTTTTTACATGTTTTATCAAAATCAGATAGGAATATAAGTATGATTTCAACATGGTCTCTGTTTGTACACATAGGTGTATGTCTGTTTTTGTGCTAGTACTATTCCTGGAATTTTTTTCTTTAGTAGATCTTTGGTCTTGAGGATTCAAAGAATGAACCCATGGACCATAGATCTGTGGTAAGACAGAATTTATAAGCCAGAAAGGAATACAAGAGTGAAAATCACCAGAGTTTCTGACAGAGGGAAAGACCTGAATTAGAAGACTCCACGTGGGTTCTTTGTCTTTGGGTATATATAGTCTAACAAATGAGTGGATGTAGTCCCTTCCACTTGGGGCAAAATGTCAAGGTATTCCCTTCATGAAATTTCCCAGGCCTTGGAAACTTACATGAAATTTCTTAGGCCTAGAAGATGGGGGGTCTTCTTCAGTCCTGAATGGGGAAACCCTGTATCAGTACCATTCAGTTCTGGCTGTTGTAGCTTTGTAGTATAGTTTGACATCTGGTAAAGTGATGTTTCCTGCTTCTTTCTTATTACTTAAGTTTTCATTTGCTAGCCTTAAATACCACATGCAAACAACAAAAAGATCAAAAATCAACAGTTTAATAAATCATCTCAAGGAAGTAGAAAGACATGAGCAAATCCATCAGAAAAAAAAAGAAATAACAATGATCAGAGCAGAACTAAATGAAATTGAGAACAAAGTAATTATCCAAAAGAATAATAAATGAAAAAGTTGGTTCTTCAAAAAGATCAACAAAATTGACAAGCCTTTTGCTAGATTAACTAGAAACACTAACGAAATTAATAAGCTCAATTAAAAATGAAAAAGGAGAAGTCATAATTGATATTATGAAAATATATGTACAAAACATTTAAGAATGCTATAAAAATGGCCATGCCATAAACTCAGAAATGTGTAGAAAATTGATAGAATCCTGGAAACATACAATCTCCCAAGACTCAATCAGGAAAAAATAGAACTCATGAACAGACCAGTATCAAACACTCAAACTGAAGCAGCAATAAAAATTCTTCCAACTGAATATGTCCTGAATGAGAGGATTTTATACCCTAATTTTACTAAATCTACAACAAGGACCTAAATCTCCAACTTGGACCTGTATTATAGAAATTATTCCAGAATATTGAGAATAATATTGAGAAGAAAGGAATCCTCCATAACTTCTGTTATGATGCTCATATGACCTTGATACCAAAGCCAGAAAAGGACACAACAAAAAAGATAAACCTACAATATCCATTATGAATATAGGCACAAAAATTCTAAACAAAATTTTAGAATACTGAATTCAACACTACATCAAAAAAGAAATCATTGTGACCAAGTGTGTTTCATCCCAGAAATGCAAAGATGGTTCAATATAATCAACTCTAAGAATGTAATTCACCACAGAAAGGCATGCAAAAATGAAGATCACATGATCCTCTCAATTGTCACAAAAAAAGCATTTGACAAAATTCAGTACCATTCATGATAACAACACTCAACAATATCAGTATAAATGGAATATTCCTCAAAATTTTAAAGGTTATATATGACAAATCTACAGCCAACATCATAGTGAATTAGGAATAACTGAAAGCATTTCCACTTATAACTAGAACCAGAAAAGGTTCCCCACTTTCACCACTTTTATTCAACATGGTGCTGGAATGTCTCACCAGAGCAATAAAGCAAGAGAAGGAAATCAGAATGGTCCAAATGAGGAAAGAAGAGATCAAATTATTTCTCTTTGCTGATGAAACTGATACAGGACAAGTGGCGTCCCAGCCAGCTCAGTGGGGGTGGGGAGGGTTAGGGGGGTGGACTGGCTGCCTCCGCCTTGGCAGTGTTGATTTGGTGGCAATAAGCACAGGAACCGGCAGCCTGGAGGGTAGACAGGAAGGTCCCCGCAGGAGGCTTCACTAGCAGGAGGGGCCAGACAACTGCTGGGGAGACACCAGCTCCTTAGGTTTCTTTCCCCTTGTGCTTGCAGCTGACCAGGGAGTACCCATTTCCTAGGCAGGGAGTGAAAGGGATTATAGCTATTCATTCACAAACCAGACATGACCCAGACACAACCCAGACATGCTGTCCCAGACCACTAAATGTAACTACAGAGGGCCCCATTTGATTATACCCCTAGCCCAGAGTCAGACAGACAGACAGATAGAGATAGAGAGTGAGAGCTTTTCTCTTCTGACTTGGGTATTCTCTCCCTGCCAGGAGCTTTGGTGTTTTTGTATTCTTTTCTGTAAATAAATCCTGTCTTACCATTGATCTATGGTCTGCAAATTCATTCTTTGAATCATTGGGACCAAGAACCTACTGAAGATTAAATTCCATTATCAAAATGATCTTATATATAGAAAACCCCAACAATTGAAAAAAAAAAGATTCCTGAAATTAATAAATTCAGCAATGTCTCAGGTTACAAAATCAATGTACATAGATCAGTAGGTCTTTCATATAGGTCAACAATAATCAAGATGAGAATCAAATCAAAAGGCCCTTAACCTTACACAGTAGAAACAAACATTATTAAATGCCTAGGAATATATTAAATAAAGGTGACAAAAGTCCTCTATGGAGAAAATTATGAAACACTGAGGACAAAAGTTGAAGAGTTTGTAAACATATGGAAAAATATACAATGCTCATGGATTGGTAGAATCAACATTGTAAAATGTCTGTACCACCCAAGTGATTCACAGATTCGATGTGATTCCTATTAAAACAGGAATGTCATTTTTGATCTATTTTTGAATGCCTATTATTAAGTTTTTATTTTGAACGACAAGTGACAATTTTAAATAGTCATTTTTTGTAAAAAAAAAAAAAAATCCAGAGTTTTCTTTCGAAATTATCTTCTCTCTGCACTATAATTTATTATAGTTCTAATAGGTTTGAGTTTATTCCCAGTTTTATCTTGCAATAGATAATTATAGTTCCCTTACTATGTGCTCATTTCCTTTGTGTTCATTGGAACAGATCAGTGAACAAAACAATTAAAAAATCCTGCTTTCCTGGAATAATACATAATTTATAAAACATGCAAAAATAAGGATTTAAAAATGTTTTTAGCATATTAAATACTTTAAAGTTGGGTAGTAGGGTAACCTCTACAGTATAAGAGTGTGCTTATAAAGGTTTCACTTTAAAGCTGAATCTGAGAAAAAACTTAAGTTAATAATAGTAGTTAATAGTAAGAAGGCAATGTCCTAGGAGAAAATGCTGTAAGCAGTGAGGCTTGTCTTTTTTTTCTCTTTTCTTTCTTTCTTATAAAAAGGGAGAGAGCAGGGGAAACGAATGATAAATAGCAGAGATATTAAACAAAGCCTATCATTTCCCCAATTGAACATTTAGTTCGCAAATATTTTGCTTTAACTCTCAGTGGAACATGATGAACTGAAAACTTGACCTTCACATTTTATCAGGATGGCCAGAGCGTGTGATATGGAGGAAGAGGGTAAAGCCCAGCTAATAATCATTACTCAATCATTATTTGAAAATGATTCATTTTATAATTGCAGTATGTGTTATAATTGTAGGAGTGATTACAGGGCAGGAGAAGGTAATCTTAAAATGTAAATATTGAAGGTGACTTTTAAATATAAAAGTGGTTTTATATGAAATGCTCCTAATGCTGCTATGTGCTTTTTTTTTCCTCCAGGTTTCTGTTATATAAGCATTACATCAGATGAATGGAACTAATGTAAACTGCTTAAGAAGACCTCAAGAGAATGAGACGATAGAAAAGTCTCAAGGGTTCATATCTCCAACACTATAACTACAGATAAAAGAATGGTATCAATTCTAAGTTGGACACATACTACCGCTGCCATCAACAGGTTTGTTTTAAGATTCTAAAAATAGATCAATATTTATTTGAACTTAGACAACAACTTGGGC